TGCGGTGCTGCATGTAAGCATGTAAGCACTGTCTATGAGATCAACCTAGTCTCCAAGCCACATGCATTCAGAACTCACAACCAGAACATCGACAGGTCGTTAAGCCCAACAGGGTCGCCAAGTGATTTATGTTTTTTAGTGTCCTTTCCTATGTGAGCCACCGACGTTTTAATAATAGGTCGTCCACATCGTGTGCACATGCGCTGTTGGGTACCTTAGTGTCGAAGCGAAGGTCTCGCAACACATGGTACTTTGCAGAAGTTGTGTGGTTTGATATACCAGCTGCTTGCAAACGCCACGAGGCCATGAAGACCCTGAAAAGTGCCACCGACAACCGGATCGCCAAGACTGTTGGTGCCGACAAGCCACCAGACTGTTTGGGACAGGCGTCGTTCAGGGCTCGAAGATCTTGAAGAAGTTTAGCTCTGGTGTCTCGGTTTCAACATCCCGTTCATCAGGCTGAGCTTCGGGCCAAGGTGAAGGAAGACATGAGAGACACGAGGGGAGTTAAATCGCCAAGCTCATGTTCCCTAACTTGAACTGCGAACCTTTGAGAAATCGCAGATCTTGCGTTGAGGTTGGCAGAGGGCCAGGTCGTGAAGGGAATCGGCATGCAGCTTGTCTGCATCCAAGACGGCATGAGCCTGGCCTTGCGCGTAGCCTTCGCCCGCTTTGGCCGGGAATGTCCAAGTAGCCAGGAGGGCCCCGTCGGAGGAATTGTAGCTCCCAGCACTGGCATAGGAGATCACAGGGTCTGTCTAGATCATGAGGCCATCAAGCAACCATCAGCTGTCCATCAAATTCACCCAGCTCCAAGGCAGCTCTACAAGCAGAAGGATGAGATCTTCGACCAGGCATAGCGCAACAGGTTCAAAGTTTGCAGCAAACTCGTCATTACGTAGAAACTGAAAATTAAGTGCACATAACAGGGCATGTGACACGTAGATGCGCACACGTGCCGTTCTTGGACCAGAAAGCATACTCGTGCAAGCACCCGGTTGCAAGAACGAAATCGACTCGGTGCGGCTAGCTTCGGGATGTCCAAGCACGAAAACAGGCTGGTGAAAGCGGAGGATCGTAAGCCCAGAGTCCTGTTGGCTTTCCATCCCTCCCCGTCCCAACCGATTGCGAGCGCGGAGGCCAAGCAGATGCACCCAGGCCTGGCATTCACCCAGGAAATTCAGTTCGGCTTCAAGGACAGCCTGCCTCGGGTCCTGGGGGATGGTCCCAGTTCAATATCTATAGCCGACCAGGTACATGATTTCTCGGACCTGCTAGTCAGCTAGTCCCAAGTCCAACAGCCATTGCTGCAAATGCTTTCCCTGCTGGCGGTTCGGAGATCGTGGCACCCGAGAAGACTCGGATGCCGTGAGGGCTTGGCACTCCTTGCTCGGTATGTCTTTGAAAACACTCCGTGTTTTCACCGAGTTTGAACTACTACCATCTATCTATCCACTTCGGCTCTTCACACGCTCAGGCCATGAGGCCCCTCGCTCGCTGTCGGCCCCGGTGTTCACGCCCCCTTCCTCAACGACAGTAAGCTCCATCTATCGCAGGAGATCAAGAACAACACGCAGTTCAATGACAATCCAGGCGAGACGTGGAAGGGCTCTGGGAGTGTTGAAGCATGTATCGTTACGATCGTCGTGTGGACAAGGAATTTTGCTCTGGTAATTATTCAAGCAGCAGAAAAGCAGGACAATAGTGACCGATAGTGCTGCTGCTCTCGTAGATGTCCTATCGTCCTATACCAGCCCATCATATCTCAAGGTTTCGCTTCATGGTGTGCTTGCAAAGCCCTGAAGTCTGAAGTCTGCAACGCATCAGACCACCCGACAAGCAGGCTCCTTCATGGACATGCGGGGCATCCAGGTGGTTCCTCCCGAGGCCAGGCAGGATTTTGGATCCTGAGCTCCTGAGCGGTTTGGACCTTGAGGGTGGTCAATCTCAGTCTGAGGGATTAGGATTTTTCGTGAGCGGCCCGGTTTTTGCGCGATGAGACTTGATGACTCTTGATCGTGTAGCTTTAGAGTTTTAGATGAAACTCTTGAAGCCCCATCTTCGCGAGACCTCGTAAGCTCCTGCATTTCCGCTCCGCGTTGACTTGCTTGTGCTGCTTTCACAAAGCGTGATGAGAAAGGCTTCAGGGTTTCGAGCCCTCCAGTGGTCTACCGAAATATTCCGTGCCCCTGAGATCGAAAAGGCAGAGAACGAGACCCTCAGCCACCGTTGTGCATAGTTGCGCATATGGGCTTCCGCACAGTGTGAGTTCAGATGAGAGCTTGAAGCTAAGAAAGCAACTCTTTCAAAGGCGATCAGAAGGCCAAGCAGAGTGGCCCTAGGCCCTGGGCCTTCACCATGGCCCGTCAAGCCTAAGCCTTGGAAGCAAGCTACATATTCAGGGCCTGATAGGAGCGACGTTTTGTGGCTTCTCTTACTTTCCGCTAGGCAGGAGCTGAGAACGTCGAACTCCGAAAAGCCAAGCAAAGCCTGTGATCCAGGAGGAGTTGAGGAACCTGTTGGATGCTGCAGGCGAGGCCGTCGAGGAGGCGCAGCAGCAGGCACTCGCGAGACGCGTTGAAACAGGGTTGGGGTTGCTTATAAGTTATAAGACGTAGTAGAAGTCGTCGTGGCGGTAGTGGTAGAGTAGCAGCGGCAGGCGTAGAAGTAGTAGTAGTCGTCGTCTTAGCAGTAGGAGCATGAGCAGTGGTCATCCTCGAAGGTTTTGACTGAAATAAGTTCACATCTATAATGAAACACAGGCAGACTTGCACGTCCCTCACATGCGGGAGACATTTCCCAGAGTGCACGACAAACTGGAAGCCACTGTTACGCCTGAAGCAGAAGACAAGGGTGCGAGCGAGAGTGCGACTCAGAGTGGGCAAGCCGGGAAACAGAGGGAGAAAGAGAGGGCCTGTTTTAGCGTCTGTCCAACGCCCCTTAATGCGGAGGCCTTTGTCCCGGGGCTACCTGGACAGTCCCGTACGCTTGAGCGAGGGTGAGCGTGAAGGAGGTTGTGGATGCGCGCGCATCGGGCACAGGAGGTTGCAGAGGCGTTAGCGGGAGATGCAGACAGGAAGCGAGGGCACTGAGCACGTAGCTACGGAGCATGTCCTGGGCAGGTGGGCAAAGTCGGAGATCAGGTGAAGGGATTCTTCTCGTCTGGCGGCTGAGAGACCGGCGGACTAAAGCACAGGCTGCCAGGGTGAGAGCCACGAGCTGCAAGCGCTGGAAGTAGGTTGAGATAGGAGTGCTTAGGATGTTGCGGTTGTTGTTGGCTCAACTCTTGTGCACTCAGGGCTGCAGTGTCTCGATAATATGACCACGGTAAGTATGCTTTTCAGAGGTGGCGGGTTCGACCTGCGTTGTAAACTTCGATCTCTATTGTGCATGCAAGGGTGCAGGCATTGCTGCTCTCATTGTTGCATCCTAGGTCCTTACTATACTACTATACATACATCACACACCGCTTTCTGCCGTCTTTGCTATCCTGTTATCATACGGATACGTTGGAAATCGCTGATGACTACCCTTCCCCCCCCTTCCCCCTCTGGAGGCTTACTTGTCAGATGCCCATGCAGGGCTGGCCGTCACCCTGTACAGCCGAAGAGTAGCTGTTTTCGATCGACCTCATGCTGGAGATAGTTTTCGGGCAGTGTTCATCATACCGACCAGACCACAACTGGCATCCACTCCATTAGGTCCACAGATATTATGGAACGACCCAGAGCATGCCACAGTAGCACCGCCTGAGAGTCGTTGTATCTGTGTGGGCGTGAGTGAGCCTGAGTGCAAACATGCAGTTGTCTCGCTTCGAGGAAGGCTCAGGCAGCAGAGTCTGAGAGACTTAAAGCCATGCTAAAGCCTGTAGACGCTTTGCATCTTCAAGGTTCAGGCTCTAGTGCTATTATTGAAAGCAAATGTGGGACTAACTGCCTCATTAACTCATTGGCGAAGATTCGGCATGCAGGTCGGCTTGCAGCAAAAGCTTGATCAGGAGCCAGATCACAGAAGTGAGCAGCTGGTAATTCCAAAAGCCCAACTTGGATGAGTATGGTTCTACTTAGTCAAAAGATCTGTCCCTGCTCAAGCTACCTCCCCGACTTCTTGTCGAGACCGACAACTGCTGCTCCGAAAATGCTCAGGGCTGGCACTTCTCGGTGCACCGGTGCTTTGTCGTATGGGCCAAACATCTCTGTGACTCGGGATCTGTTTCCTTCGAGCTCCCTTTCCCTTAGCATCAAAATAGCCCAAAAGCCTTATATAATAGGGTCTTTGGGCCCAGAAGCCTTAAAATATGAGTCCTTTGAGGGTAAGGGTTTGAGTATTGGCATGGTCTATGCATGCCTCGTGCGAGTGAGTGACATGCTATCGCGCCGAAGCAGCGATGCAGAGTGAGGACTGTTGTTCGTTTCGGCGCTGGGGCCGACACACGCCTTATCTTGGCATGTCAGGTAACATGACACGTGCAATTCGGAGCGTCTCCCTTCTGAAGTAGAGTAGTTCATATAGTTGTATGTACGTACATATATATATATATATATAGATACTATACATAGAGAAAAAAGAAAGCAAATACGTGTTTGGTGGAGATATTAGACGAGAGGCACAGAGCGGACATGTTACATCAATGCCAGACCATGAATTGCAGGCGCAATCCGATTTTGGATCGGATTGCATGCTGGAGGGGTGTCAGGTCTACTAATGCTCTAGAGGCAAGCCGGTGGTGCGGGACAGCGTGGTCCATCTTTGAAAGCTACTTGTTGATGCTGAGGCCCTGTTGAGAAGGAGGAGGCTGGATGTGTCCCATCTCAATTCCCACCCCGCTGCCGTGGTACCCCAAGCCTTGTTCCGACAGCTTATTTACAACTCGTGAATGTTTGATTTCGCGTTCAAGCTTTGTCGAGCAGGTCTGTTTGTATTTGGATTGCATAGAGAGGCACGCCAAAGCCTCACGTTTGAGTTGGCTTAGACGGACATAGAAGTTTACACAGTAGCTTGTACAGCCTGTTTCAAAGTCACGTTTTGCCGGAGGCTTCTTGCACCCCATTTGGTCATTCTTAGATTGATCTCGGATTGTGTAGAGCCTTGCCTGCCTGGCGCGAGTCTGAGAGTCGAAACCCCAACCCCCCGGCGCGAGATGTCTCCTTCATCGGAAACCGGTTTCTCCAGCATGTTACAAAGGATTCGGGACCCGGACAGGTGAGGATCATGAAGGATCTTAAACTTGCATAAGTCCTATAAGTCGAGCGGTCCAAACCAAAAGCCTTCGGCCTCAACCTAACCGTCTGGCTGGCGTGGACCTTGTGGCCTGACTTTGGGGTGGCTCGACCACAAGCTCCATGCACAGGAGTCCGCTGACTTCCTTCCTTAAGCTTTGCAGCTTTCCTTCGCAAATATGGCAAAGCCTCATCGTCATCCAGAAACCCACAACGATCATTAGTTAATTAGTATTTCCCGGTTGCTTCCGGTGATTCCGGTGCTCACTCCAACATAGGTTTGAGTCTGCCAGCCATATGGACGATTCAGCCACGGAGCTGCAACGCAGACCTGTGGCCAAGAGACGGAAGCGAGCGCCAAACGTGTCTGCCTCATTAAGCCGATGGGTCGTTGACAATGTGACGCAAGCCCGTGAGCTCATTCGCTCAGAGGCTCGGGCAGGTTATCAAGAAGCAGCAGGTCGTCTGGTGGCGGTGCTCGAAAAAATGCCTGACTTGTGGCAAGAGCTTCATGAAGAGCTCTTGCTTGCAGTGTGGCTAGGTTCGGATGCTGGGCTGCAGGCGCGACTCGCCGAAGGAGCCGCAGGGTCTCTTGTGAAATTCTCCATCCAGCCTCAGAACCTCTCCAGTCTCTTCACGATGATTGGTAAAGCTTTGGCAGATGAAGGCCGTCACTGCTCAGCATTGCGGGCAATGCATCGGGGCCTGAAGCTTGCACCAGATAAAGCATCTCGAGACGAGTCAATTTCAAGCCTGTTCGGACTTCGTTCGCGTGCGCTTGCGCTGTGGCATTTTGCCATGCTCAACGACGGTCCAAGAAACAGCGCCTTTGCCGGAGCTATTCGCGATACCATAAAGGAGCTCTGCGCAGAACCTGCAGGTCATCAGCACACTTGCCTGGACATAGGAACTGGAACGGGGTTTCTGGCTCTTATTTGCCGTGAGCTCGGCCAGCACATGGACGGGGGTTTGGAGGTGCACGCATGCGAGCAGAACGAGCTGCTCTTCGCTTTGGCGAAGGAGGTTGTGGGAAACCACACCTCTGACGACCTGGGCCTGTCACAAAGCCACAGAGACACTGCGCAAGCACAAGTGCAGCTGCACAAGGGTAACAGCTGTACGTTGCAGCTTCAAGCCGTTGACTTCATAGTTTGCGAGGCTGTTGATGCCGAACTTCTCGGTGAAGGGTATTTGAAGACTGCGATGGACGCATGCAAACGTCTTTTAAAGCCACAAGGAAGGCTTTTGCCGTGTAGAGCCACAGTTTACGGCCAGTTGGTGGACTGCCCCATCCTGCGGCATTCCTTTGCTGGAACCCATGCTTGCAGCAGCTTCAAACTCAAAGGAGTCGGCTGCAGACTCTACCAAGGCTTCATGTGCGAGTTCCTGGAAGACTTCGACCATGTCATCCTGAGCGAGCCACATGAACTTTTGCAAATCTGCTTTGACGACCCAGAACAGATCCAGCCGCAGCTGAATGCTTGTGATGTTGCATCGGTCAGCCTGAGTGTATCTCGTGGCGGAACTGCCCATGCCTTGGTTGTTTGGTGGGATCTCCATTTGGATAAATCCGGCAAACACTGTGTGTCTTCACACCCTGGCCGAAGCGAGAATCATTGGCCACAGGTCTTCTGGCCCGTCTGGGCGCAGGCAAACGCTGCGGAAGTTGAGGTCGGAAGGCCCGTGTCATCTGGGGAAGCCGTGGAAGTTGGTGTAAGGATGTTTGAGGACCGAATGGAGTGTCGGGTGAAGTCTCCCGAGTCATGTCATGCAGCGCAAGAATCGCAAGGAGCGGAGGCTCTGTCCGTTGAAGACTTCCGATGGCTGAACGATCGAAGTGTGTGGGACAATCTGAGGAAGCATTCTGCGAGTGTTCTGCCTACAAAGTGCCGAGAACCTTGTATTCTGGACCTGTCTTCGATGCGGCTTCCTGCTGCACTGGCAGTCGTGGCACAAAGCCTGCCAAAGGAAATTCGCCCCAAGGCCTACACGAGCAGCTGCCTTGACCCGGCGTCAGCTCGAGCATTTCTGGCAGCTAATGAGATCCGTGACAACATCACTTTCTGCCAGCGCTCATCCGCACACAATCTAGCCGACTTGCTAGAAGAGTCTTGTCCAAAGCAGGATGGTGATGTCATTTTGGTTTTCGCCGATGCTGTGCAGCGGTCTGGCGAGCTGCGCCCTGACGTCCTCTCGCAGGTCGTAGCGGCCCATCGTCACTGCACAGTCACCGGTGGAAAGCTTTGGGTTCTGCCTCATTTCTTGAGCTTGTCGCTCACACTGGTAGAGAGCATCCCGCTGTCCAGGAGCAGCCGCGTCCAGCATCCATCAGTAGATGGTGTGCATGTGGATGTGAGGAGTTTAAACGCGTTGTCTCCCACGACATTCGAGTCATTCTCAGAGAAGCGACTTTCACCGAAACGCCTAACGTGTGAACAAGAAGTACTGCGACTTCCACTGTCAAGCCCGTCTTGCCCAACTCAGTTGGCAAGCCTTGAAGCCGGGAGGAAATACAGGCTAGGCCCAGTCCTTGCAGATGGCTCGGTCCATGGAGTGCTTTGCAACTGGTCTTGGTCCCATCCGCAGACACAGCAGACGCTGGAGGCAGGCGATGATTTTCCTGATGTCGGAAAAGCTGGTGCTGTTTGGCCGGAAACGTTACCAAGAAGAGTCGCGAAAGGGGATTATATTGTTGTCGAGATTCGAACCTTCGCTGCTCACGGCATCCTCGTGACACCATTGCAGCTTCTGCCTGCCGCTTCAGTTTCTTAGGCACAGAGGCCTCAGCGACATGCTGGATCGGTCGCAGCGATTTGTAGCTGAACAGGCGCACGAAAGCAAGTGCGAGTGCTGAGAGTGATGATTCAGCTTTGTCATCGAGTGCGATGTTCGGCCTTACTTCCTTCGAGTGCTGGCAGGCGCAAACTTAGATCATCATGGATGCAAGGTTTTCG